CTTCCTCTAACCCCTCCTTATTTCCCCTCCCCGGACCTATCAGTGGGCGCAACGTACATCGCCTGACGTGGGCAATAGGCCAATAGTCAGCTGCTTCGTAGGGCTATGTGAACCAATCAAATCTTACCAGCAGGGACCAAAAGCTATACAGAAAACAAGGCTCATGGCATAAGCTCCAGCGGAAGGGGCAAGGCTGAGGAGCAGGGCGACCGCGCCCGACACTGTTTAATGCGAGGACGGAAAAATAATGAAAATGAGGCCAGATGTGGAGTCTTCCACATACAGACTCATGTGAGAAATTCTGAGCTGAGTGGCATGGTACATACCTATAATCTCAGCAATCAAGAGGCTGAGGCAGGAGGATTTTGAGTTTAAGGTCAGCCCTCATGATTTGGCTGGTATACCTGACAAATAAACACTGTACATTCAAAGCATACCATGTGATGATTTTGTATGTGTGTATATTGTGAGTTCCATATTCTATGAACTACCACATCCATCACCATTTGATGGCCATGACTGGAGTGTATGGGTACTTGCTACAGCCACTTTAGGCCTTGTGGCTTTGATATGTTGGCCTCCAGCACTTGCCATGCCACCCTTCTGCTCAGCCCTCCCCTACAGTACCCATGGGCACAGGTATGCCTACATGCCTCATGTATGCACACACCTTCTAGCCCTCACTCTGCACAACCACAGCTCCTGAACATCTTCCACAAAGCCCTTTTTCCTTCACTTAGTCCCAGGCACACTGAGCTCTTTCTAGAGGGGTGAGGGTAGAACCTTTCATCTACCTGGATGTTGTGCCACCAACACACTCCCTTCACCTGCATCATCTCTCTGCGTTCCATCCTTTCTTGGTTTTTCTCCATGGCATGTATCACCTGCTGTGTGATCTTTGTATTCATTTGCCTGTTTCCTCTAGAACACAAGCTCCCTGGATCCGAGTGTGTCTCCTATGTTGCTCACTGCTAGAACAGTGCCCACATAGAAGAGGAACCTGTGGAACATTTTCTAAATGAAAGAAAGAATGAATGGATAAAAGGAAATGCAGAGCATTCTTACCATAGAAAGCCAAACATTGAAAATTCGAAGCAGGAGAATAAAGTTATTTGTTGGAGGGGGAAAAAAAATAGAGGGCCCTGGGGAGAGAGCTCAGTAGAATAAGTGCTTGCCTGGCAAGCGCAGGGTCATGAGTTCAATCCTCGGTACAATAAAATAAAATAAAAATCCGGGGCTGGAGAGATGGCTCAGTGGTCTAAAGCACCTACTTGGAACAAGCTTGGCAA